GATTTGATTTGTAACTAAAATTACATGAATTTATAAAATAATATGAATAAGTAAATGTTTTCACACTTTTCCTAATATATATATATATATATATATATATATATATATATATATATATAGGGTTGCATTCAAATACAAACCCTCTTAAAACACAAATCTCCCTTAAAATACAAACTTGAGCTCGTGCACACAATAACATACTTAGATGCACACATGGCGCACTGTCAATAATTTCAGGGATTAACTCGTGCACACATTAACATACTTACATGCACACATCGCGTTGGAGGAAAAATCACAACCATCCATCAAAGATCGTGCACACATTAACATACTTACATGCACAAAGCACGTAGGAGGAAAAAATCACAACCATCCATCAAAGCTCGTACACACATTAACATACTTACATGCCCACTAGGCACACTGTCAACAATATCTGGGATTAGCTCATGCACACATTAACATCTTTACATGCACACCGTTTATATTTTAAGGGGGATTTGTATTTGAAAATAATCATATATATATATATATATATATATATATATATATATATATATATATATATATGTTATGGTGCAGTTAGCAGACCCCGGTGCGGTTGTGTGTTAAATCTGAGGCTCTGAGCTATTGATCTTGCTTAAATTAAAGTTCTGGATTACCAAAATTTAAAAAAAAAAAATACAGTGGCAATTTGATAACTTTTGCATCTAAGTCAAATTTAAGGTGCGTGAGTTTTGTGTTTAAGGTGCGTGAGTTTTGTGCTTAATGTTTATGAGTTTCTGCTTAAGGTGTGTGGGTTTTGTGCTTAATGTGAGTAGTTGTTAAAAATTAAAGTGCGTGAGTTTTGTGCTTAATGTGAGTAGTTGTTAAAACTTAAAGTGCGTGAGTTTTGTGCTTAAGGTGCGTGAGTTTTGTGCGTAAGGTGTGAGAGTTTGTGCTTAAGATGCGTGAGTTTTGTGCTTAATGTGAGTAGTTGGTAAAATTTAAAGTGCGTGGGTTTTGTGCTTAAGGTGCATGAGATTTGTGTTTAAGGTGTGTAGGTTTTGTGCATAATTTGCGTGAGTTCGTGCTTAATGTGAGCCATTTTAAAATCTTAGGTGAATGAGTTTTGTGCTTAATGTGCTTTGTTCTGTGCTTAAGGTGCGTAGTTTATGTACTTAAAGTGAGTGATTTGTGTTCTTTAAGATGCTTTGTTTGTGTGCTTAAGATGCATGGTAATTTGTATACTTAAGGTGCATCATTTTAATGTTTAAGGTGCGTCCAATCGTACAACCGCATGAAAAATTATTCCCGCACCTGAACCCTTCCATATATATATATATATATATATATATATATATATATATATATATATATATATATATGGAATGGTTCAGATGCGATTGATGCTTCCCGTTCGGTTGTGCGGTTGGACGCACCTTAAGCATTAACATGGCGCACCTTAAGTACACAAATCACCATGCACCTTAAGTCCACAAACAAAGCACCTTAAGAACACAAATCACTCACCTTAAGTACAAAAATCACGCACATTAAGTACATAACAAAGCACATTGAGCACAAAACTCACACACTTAAGATTTTAAAATGTCTCACATTAAGCACAAACTCACGCACATTAAGTACAAAACTCACGCACATTAAGTACAAACCTCACGCACATTAAGCATTAAACTGACGCACTTTAAGTATTAACTCACAGACTTTAAGTTTCAACAACTACTAATATTAATCACTAACCCCACGCACCTTAAGCACAAACCCCACGCACATTAAGCACAAACTTCACTCACCTTAAAAACAAATCTCACGCACCTTAAGCACAAAAGCCCACACTTTAAGTTTGAACAACTATTCACATTAAGCACAAACCCACGCACATTAAACACAAAACTCACGCACATTACGCACAAGATTCACGCACCTTATAGACAAAACTAACGCACATTAATCACAAAACCACTCACCTTAATTTTGACATAGATGCAAAAATTATAAAATTACAACGCATTTTTTTTTTAATTTTAATAATCTTAGACGTTGATTAAAGCGAGATGAATGACTCAGATTAAACCGCACAACCGCACCTGAAACGCTCATCCGTACGAGAACCGATTTCTATATATATATATATATATATATATATATATATATATATATATGTGATATTGTTCTCCCTCCGCGCACGTTTGCCCGGACGTTTTGATTCCTCACTGCAGCCACTTCAATTCCCTGCCCCACTACTCCCATCATTATCAAGTCATTTCACTATATATGCAAAATTATTAAGTTATATATTTATGTATATATATATATTTGTGGATCCAAATTCAATATTCTTTTATTAATGCTTTATTTATAATTAGGACACTAATCAAATTAGAATAATTTATGCTTCGCAATGAATCTTTATTCCTCACCTCTACGCCAATGGAATTGATGCTGTTAAACAATTGCAATGAAATCCTTTTTCTCTAAAAGATTGAATCCTCAATCTCAAGAACCCACGTCCTAACTCGACAAGACATATGAGTGAATGTAAACACAATAACTCAATGACGCAGTAAATATGGCTAAATACTGGTGCGCCCGCACAAGGGATATTGCAATGAAATTCATTCTTTTGATAGCGGTTAGTTCAACTGATCAATGTTTTTTTTTTTTTTTTTTTTTTTTTTTGTTTATTGTTATCAAATTCGTACCTCTCTAATTAAAAATATTGTGCATGTTTAGAGCAACTCCAATTATAACATTTCTAAACCAATGTTTCAAGAGCGGATTAATTACATTTTTCAAAAATCATGAAAGAGTCAATGTGGTGATGTATACCATTCTCTACTACGTCTCTCATTAATTAAGTGCTACTTTCCCATTCTTGAAGAAGCCTAGTAGAATTTGCGAAATAACCAACGTTACATTTTCATGGCAGAATGTTGGATTCGCTTATCCAAGTCCTCGCCTAACAACTCCAAGTGCACATGACCAAATCTACTTGATACCAATTATTATATCAATTCAAACAGTTACTAATACACCAAGAGCTATAACAATAACAAGACATAACTTTATTTCTTTGAACTTACGTAGCAGCTAGCGTCATATTTTGATAACAAAATTGTGACTTTTGCCCTTCAAATCACTACCTAACAAAATTAATATGAGTTCATATCATATTATGACCTTTACAATATGTTATATTGCTTTTATTTAATAATAAATAAATAACGTTGATTCAACCAATTTGCTTTTATTTAAGCGGTAGGAGTTGAGTTTTTCTTTAACAAATGCTTTATTGAGAATAGAGTTTGAAAAAAAAGAAGATAACAATAAAAAAAGTTTCTTAACATGTTAGCTACATTAATTTTGTGAGAAATTTTATTAATTAAAGGCACATTATATTTTCTAGTATTAATAAAAATAAATAATGACATTCAATATATAAGATTGGATCATCCTTCTAATTTATAATGATAAGGATGGTACAGGTTTAATATAACTTTTTGTTAATTTAATAGGTGAACTATATCAGAAGAAACAGCATGGGTTCCACTCAGTGTCGGATCCTCTGCTCCAGGTTGCTGTTGTCTTGGGCTTTGTGCCACCGTCGAGACATTGGGCGGTTGATATGATCTTCAATTTACTGTGACTTGCTTTGATCCTAGGAAATGTAGTCGCTAAATCTTGTCTTTTCTTCTTTTGTTTTTCGTAATTAGGTTAATCAAATACGAGAAATGAGGCTTAATTTATGGTTACACCGTTGCGATAATGAATTTGTACAACATGTGAACTTACTCTAATTATTCTTTCAAAATGCTGAACCTCAACCCAAGGGCCCCCACATCTCGACCCGATAGAGCATTTGGGAGGATATAAATCATGTTAACTCAACTGAACATGAATCACAGAGGCTAGACCGTGCTCACTGCACACAAGAAACCGACAAATTATATCATGCACCACGGTGCATGATCAATCATGCACCACGCGTCTTTTTTCTTTTTTAAATGAAAAGAAACGGTGTTTGTTTTCCGCCGTTTCGCACTCTTTTGCAAAAAGTAACCCTGTTATTCAGTGTCATTTTGTATACACTGCAGTTTCAGTTCAACACAACTACAGTTTCATTTCGATATAACTATAGTTTCATTCGATATTTATAGACTCAAATATGTGAAAATGTTATTTAATTTTATTTTATATACACTATAGTTTCATTAAAACACAACTACATGATCATTTTGATATAATTACAGCTTCATTGTACAATATACACTCAAATATGTGAAATGTTATTCAGTTTCATTTTATATACACTGCAGTTTCATTTCACTATAACTAAAGTATCATTTTAATATAACTGCAGTGTCGGTTTAGATATACTGTAGTGTCAGTTGGTGTTTAATACACCAAACAAGCGGACTCCGTTAACTATAACGGCGGGCCGTTTCTTTACTTAAAGAAACGACGCCGTTTTTTACCACGGTGCATGTGCACCGCGGTCTATGATATAACGACTGCAAGAAACCCCCTCACTTTGAGAGGTTGCTCCCACACTGCCACTGGTAAGACTCGATCCCTGTTCATTCTTTCAAAATTTCACCTCAATTATTGGATTAATACTTCTTTTAATCATTAATTTTTAATTCGACAAAAATATATAACTTGATATTCATTTTTATAATAAATAGTCTTTCGCTAAAATTTCTGTTTGTTAGCAATATTATTATTATTATTATTATTATTATTATTATTATTATTATTATATCTGTAGTCAACAATGTAATAGGTTAGTATTCTATGGCTATCCTGTTAGATAGGATTACTTTACGTTAATTGTTTAGTCTTTAGTATTGTAATTTCTATCATTCAGTTAATTGAATTCAGATAACTTATCTCATCTGGTATCAGATAAGCCTAGGTCGATTCTCTCTCCAACCACCACCGTCCCCAACCCTTCTCTGCCTCACGCAAACGCCGGCAACCCTCCTCTCTACGCCATGTTCACCAATTCGTCTGAGAGGACTGTGACCGCCGGCCCCGATGCACCACCGGCCAACGTCCAAAGCCCCTTATCCGGTGCGCATCACTACGTATCAATCAAGCTCACGTACCGCAACTTCTTGTTTTGGAGAACCCAGTTGGTGCCGTTCCTTCGTGGGCAAGAACTTCTTGGCTTCATCGATGGTGAGACGCCATGCCCGCCGCCGACCATTGACGCTACCCCGGCTTCCAGCGATTCGAACTCTGCTGCAACCACCGACGCCCCGACGCCGAACCCGGCTTACAAAGCTTGGATAAAACAAGATCAATCCATCTTGTCGCTGCTCATTTCTTCCCTCTCGGATGAAGTGATGCATCTTGCAGTTGGCAAGACCACGTCCAAGGCAGTTTGGGAATCTATCACGGCGGCACTCGGAAGTTCCACTCGTGCCTCAGTGCCTAAGCCTCCTCGGCCAGTTCCATTCTCTGCGGCAAGGGAACGACAGTGCAGCAGAATATCTCGGCCACGCTCAGCTCTTGGTGGAACAACTGGCCCTCGCCGGCAGACCTATCTCACTGGACGAACAAAATCTGTTCGTGTTCCGTGGACTCCGGCAGGAATACCGAGCCATGGCCTCATCCCTCACGGCGGCAGGTATACCCGTCACTATTCCACAGATTTCCGATTACCTTCAAGCGCAGGAGTTTATACACGCCGGGGACTACCCGGCTGGATCTGATGGTGGAATTGTAGCTGCTCCGGCGGCGCTGTATGCCGGTCGCGGAAGACGCGACACTAGTGACGGCGGCCGGAATGGACAGGGTCGCGGACGCGGTGGCCGGGGCGGTCAAGGTCGTGGACGCGGTGGCCGTAAGTGCGTAGCGCTGTCAGATATGTAGGTCGCAAGGACATACCACGGTCTATTGTTACAAAAGGTACGCACCACAACCACCGACGCAGGCAAATATGGTGGTTTATGGTGAAGACACACCGGCACCGCCCTCGGCTATGGGATGGTTTCCGGACACGGGAGCGTCGGCCCATGCCACCCCCGACGCATCCATGATGTCGCAATCAGATGAGTACACCGGTGGTGATGTACTCCGTGTTAGTAATGGCGCAGGTTTGACAATTTCGCACGTTGGTCATGCATGTATCCCATCTGAGTCAAAATCATTACGTTTATCTAATGTGTTATGTGTCCCTGAATTGTCAGTTCCTTTATTGTCTGTTAATCGGTTTACCAGTGACAATAATGTGTTTTTTGAATTTCACAAAAATTGTTTTCTTGTGAAGGATTCAATCACCAGGGCGGTACTTCTTAAAGGTCCCACATCGGGCGGCTTATACATGTAACACCCACTTTTCTTAACCTTGATTATCAAACTAAAACTTTAAAGATAAAAATAAACAACGGAATTAAAAACAACTAGATAACATAAGAGGTGTCACTGCCACAATCACCCTCCACGGTGATTGCACAAGCTAAGGGTAAAAACTAAGAACATTAAAGTCAAACGAACAACCGATAATCTAGGGGAATGAAACCCTAGTGTCCAGCACCAACGAAAGGGATAGTCTACTACAACCATAAGACAAAAAAGAGTTTAGACTACAAGCTATCTAGCTACACTAGTCTAACTCGTGCTCTCAATTCTACGAACTGAGCCCACCTGAAAGGGGTTAAAAAACAACAAATAACAAACAAACCCATTAGCACGAAGCTAAGTATAACGCTACTCAACCCTGTAAAGTAATACAGTATATACTTTTAGAAAACAACAATTCCACATTCTTTGCTCAAACAAGTCTATACACTTAAACATACTTTGGCATTAACTTCTAGATGCTTGCAACATAATACTCGTATAGGCATACTTATCCATTAAACAACTCATCACATTCTCATCTTATGATTAGTCTAAAACTTCTCAAATATTCAAGCATCTCATGCTTTCTCATATAACTCGAAAAAGCATACTTATGCTATCATATACTTATCATGCATTCACTTGCAAGACATATAACTCACAAACAACCTCATACTATCAATCATGCAATCTAGTGCAAGGCGTAACTCATCAATAAACTCATACAACTACTCATGCAATCTAGTGCAAGAGATATATAAGTAATCTCATGTTACTACTCATGCAATCTAGTTCAAGATATATATATGCAATCTCGTGCTACTACTCATGCAATCCAGTGCAAGATATATATAAACAATCTCGTACTATTACTCATGCAATCTAGTGCAAGACATATATGTAAGTAATCGCATGCTACTACTCATGCAATCTAGTGCAAGATATATATAAGCAATCTCATGCTATTACTCATGCAATCTAGTGCAAGATATATATAAGCAATATCGTGCTACTACTCATGCAATCTAGTGCAAGATATATATAAGCAATCTCATGCTATTACTCATGCAATCTAGTGCAAGATATATATAAGCAATCTCGTGCTACTACTCATGCAATCTAGTGCAAGATATATATATATATATATATATATATATATATATATATATATATATATATATACACACACACACACACACACACACACACACACACACACACACACACACACACACACTCTTTAAAAAAGAATAGTTTTATGTGGAGGTTTCTTGTTGTCATAAATGACTTGCTTTGCTTTCTTTTCTTTGAGTCTCAATGACTCATTTTCTTTCTCTTGAGTCTCTTGACTCGCTTTCTCTTTACTCGTGGGCGAGGCCGGGCTTCACCATAATGTGAATGAACCCATTGGGCACGGCGTCTAGCCGGCCAATCTCTCATCCCGTCCACAGAACCAATCTCGTGGTTTCAATACTCATACTCTGTGAAATCAGGTATCGAACTATCAGTGTGCACGCCCCCTGACCAGGATTTCAAGCCTGGCGGACAGTTTCCAACCTCGTAACGTGGGAATACGCCGCGTTACATGATATCGGATCACAATGTCCGTTGCTTTCTCTTTTACTCCGAAGGGACATAGTCCAAACGGGTTCTCCAAAAATACTATTTTCCTCACAATATATATATATATATATATATATATATATATATATATATATATATATATATATATATATATATATCACTCATGCAATTCAAACCATGCAATACTTTTTTTTATGCAAAAAAAAAATGCACATATCTTCTCAACTCATTCTCAAATGACAAAATAAAGACTCTCCAAAAAAAAATATTAGTTTTTAGGAAAATAATACTTTGGCTCACATTGGTCACTTATGCACTTTTAAAACATGATATGCTCAACAATGCCATGTACTATATAATATGCTTCTAACTTCTATTCACTGTGAAACTCAATCAATTCAATAAATCATACTTGAAACTCATGACTTAACGAATCCTCTCGATAAACACTTAGCAAGTAATTAACATGTTTTTGGAACTCAAAATGCTTCATAGAACTCATTTATTGTAATTTAACTTTCAAGTTGGACATGCTGTGCATACTTTCATGCTTAGAAACTTAGCAACAATCTTAATAAGTTATAAAAGACAATTTAGGCATGCTTTTCTAACAAACTCAATAAATAAAGTTCATGCTTCTCTATTCAGTAATCAAAACAAACACTAAGCTGTTGGTACCGTTGGTAGGAAAACAAATAATAATCAAATAAAATTGACTATTATTTTCTGGAAAGAAGGGAAGAAAAGATGAAGAAAAGTGGCTAGTGTTTGGTGTTGGGTTTTTGCAAGAGTCGAGTGAGCACTCTTTCCTTAAAACCTTATTTGCCACCTCTTGAAGATGCTAGGAGCGTTGTGGCCTAGGCTTCCCAAGATAAAACTTGCTATGATTCAGTGTTTGAGCATTCAAACAAAGAATCCGGCGAGCAAGACGTGGTTATGAACACAGTAGGCAAAGAAAGGGAGTAGAAGCAGAATTTTGAGGCTGGAAAACAATGTTTCGTGTACAGTGATAGTGCTGTAGTGTTGTGAAAATCTGCTTCTCACTACCTCTCTTATATAGGGGTGAAGGAGCCAATAGCTTTTAATGAGACACTTTAAGGCACCCCCCACTACACCTTGTAACAGCAACATTTACCATGGGTTTCAATTCAAAAATAAAGATTGGAATTAATTCAAGAATTAATTCCGTAACAGTAAGAATTGAACCCAACGGTCACAGAAAGCAGTACAGGTTCGTGTAGGCCGAAACTTCCAGTTTCGACCATCAGGCCAAAACTGGAAGTTTCGGCCTTGGTGCCTTGTCTCGTCTCGGCCTCCTTTGGCCGAGACCACAGTTTCGGCCCATGCTGAAACTACAAGTTTGGATGGCAGTTTCGGCCAACCTAGTGGCATTGTGTTGGAAAATTGTTCCGGAGTTTGGCATAACTTAGCCCGCAAGGCCAGCCAATTTCCGGATGACATTCGTGCCCGCAGGTGCCGGCGCACACGAGCTCGGGCTTGTATCAAGCCTTTTGCACACGAGCTCGGGCTTGTATCAAGCCTTTTTTCAATCTCTACTAGTTGGAATTTGATTTGCACACCCCCCCCCCCCCCCGCGCGCGAGAGAGCCTCTATGCTATACATCTACAAGCTTCAAAAGAGCTCTGTATATAAGGGGGGAAAATCTTCAATCCAAAGCAATGTGGGACAAAAGCTCACTTTTTTCCCTTCATTTTCCAACTCAAATGGGTCTACTTTGAGAATCAATATCTCATTCACCCATTATCCGTTTTGAGCGTACAATATATCGATCTCTTCGTCTCACTACGAAGAATCCGAATCCACTTTGACCCGACCCAAATCGGAAGTGGACCCCACAGATAATTGTACCACAAAATAGCCACTTAACATGCCACTTTATGCCATTTTAAAGCTATTTTTTCCAACAATCCCCCACATGAATGAAAAATTGATTTTCGGGGTATTTTGAAATCGGAAACAACTGTGTTCAAATGGTCGATCCCTGCATAGGATAGGTAGGGAGTCACTATACCCTTTGAACCTTCCCTCGTGAAGACATGTTTACTCTACTGGCTGTACGGTAGAACGCGATGTCTTTGAACCGACTGCCGTTTGTGTAGACGATGACATATCTCACACAGGAATCTCCCAACCATGCTCTTGCTCTCACGAGTGTGCCCGTTTTGGTCGTGGGTCACCGTTCCTGGTTCTGCGAGAGTTTCTAAAGAATTGTGCCCAACAATTCTCCTTTGAAGCGACCCTCACTTCTCTCTAACATAGGCGATTCTTTCTCGAGTATCCCGCATACTCAAGAATCATTAAAGCATTAACATGCTAGCCTCTTGCGGGAGTCACTGTTTTAACGAGGAGTGGTAGGGAGTCCGAGACCCCCACAGTGACGCGCTCCGTTCCATAATTTAGTTGTCCCATTGAACCTAGGTGCCAGCTAGGTTGGGTATCCACTATAGAACTTTCCAGTCCAAGGGCATTAGACCCATTCCTCGTGTCAACTTCTCCACAACTTCTCTTCCTAACCCTTTGGTCAGCGGATCCGCTATATTGTCTTTTGACTTTACGTAATCAATCGAGACAATTCCAATTGTGAGTAGTTGTCTAATGGTATTATGTCTACGACGCACATGTCTAGACTTACCATTATACATATGACTCTGTACTCTCCCAATTGTGGCTTGACTATCGCAATGCACACATATTGGAGGTACCGGTCTTTCCCAATTAGGAATATCCTCTATAAAATGGCGTAGCCATTCAGCCTCTTCACAACCTTTGTCCAAGGCTATCAGCTCAGATTCCATCGTGGATCTAGCTATCACAGTTTGCTTAGAGGATTTCCACGCAACGGCTGCACCGGCTAGTGTAAACACGTAGCCACTCGTGGACTTAGAGTCCTTAATATCAGATATCCAATTCGCGTCGCTATACCC